TAATATTAATGACTTTTGCAAAAATCATTATTGCCGTAAATTTTAAACCATATCTGTGATATGTGAAACACATTTGTTACAAAACTAATGTTTTCTCCAATTTCATTTTCAACCGATTTGTTAAAAATGTTAACGTATTGTTCAAATGAATCCTCGCGCAAAAAAATGTGTCTGCACATTTAAAAAAATTGATTTAGTCACAAGTTATTCTCATTGAAAAAAATAAATAAAAGAATAACCTAAAAATAAATTGTGAAATAAACAGTCAGCTGCTCATGCAGCGTCAAACACATTCACATGCACGAAGTAACCACCCATTGTTTAAACCATTAAGCATGTAAATCAGTTTTAATTTTGAAGTTACAAAATTAACAAAAATAACAAATGCGTCATTTGGCGGAAAATGGGTCAAAACCTTTTTTTTATATCACTAATTTTGAACGCATATCTGATATAAATACAAACTGTCCACAAGGAATGTTATTGTTAGCCAGAAAAAATGGAGTTAAAATGGAAGGGAACACTTAGTACAAAGTTTGGTAAAAATTTGCTCATTTAATTTTGAAAATTCAAATTATCAGTTTGTAATGCTAAGCTGATACCAATATTGCTACTTTGTTGGCAAATAAGTGAACTATATTGCAATACTTCTGGTTGAGTAGCTTTTTCGTCAACAGTAAAACTTACTCTTAAAAAATATCTAATTTCACAGAAGAAAAATAATCTGTTACCACCTTACATGTTTTTTTGCATGTACGTTTAATTTTCATGGTCATCTCCATTCACCTCAAGTGAAGTAAACAAATCTGTTATGAGTCCAGCTACTTATTACGTACATTTCATAAATATTTGATTACACAATATTGCCCAGGATATACATAAAAACCAATCGTAGATGATGTAGTGGTATATACATGTATGTTAATAAATCCTGGCCACTATGAGGGCCTTTCAGTACATACATGTATCAAGTCACATAATAATATCTCAAGTAGTCGCATACCTCTAAGAAAATTACAGTAATCTGTTTACTTATGGATATCAGTACTTTAGCAATGAGTACCACTATGTTTTGAATGTGAAGTTAAGAAAAATGCAATTTCAGTGGTATTAAGTAAACAAATTGGTGAGGGCTATGTCATCATCATGGTGCTTTTTGTTTAGGCAGCATGCTGTAGTGTAGTGTGTCAGCTGCTTCGCTTATGATTTTTATTTTGGTTGATTTGATTCAATGAATATCATATCAGTGAATGCTAAGTCTTGATTTTGATTGGTCTGTGCTGTGTGTGAGATTGTTTGTTGCCCTGCTGGACGAACTTTGACCCTCTCGGTTTATGCACTTTTTTTCTAAAGACAGCACAATGAAAGACCTTTTTAACAACCGGACCATAAACAATGAAAACGCTTTTCACGAAATTTGACCTCCAATAAATTGTCCCTACCTATTTAAACTGAGTCACTCAATGAAACAGTCTACAAAAAGGTTTGCTTCTAAAGTAAGTTTACAATGTTTATTTTTTTGTAATTTGGACTTGTAAACCCTCATTGGTTGTGTGCGTGTGACTGCAGCCATTTTCTGGTCAACTTGTACGGTAATATATAGTTAGATGTGACTGGCCAGGTCAGGGGAAATCAACAACCATTCCACATCTTGCAGGTCAGATCTACCTTAAAAGGCAGTGGTCGTTACATCACGCGTGTGACATTTACAGAAAATGTGATGCAATCTTGCAGTGGCAGGCAGTGAGTTGGATGGTTGCTTATATGCGCCAAATACCGACTTTGAATCTTTGTAGTCCTTCCAGTAATTTCAAGAATTTTTTTGATACATGATTAATTATTTATCGTGTAACTAATAACACATCATGAGTCAACTTACCTAAAATTGGGTAATGGATGAGCAAAATTTGAGAGCAAATCAGAAAAAGAAATCATGTCATTAATTGCTGAGCAAAATTTTATCTTGAAATAGGGTTAAGTAGAAGAGTTAGTTACTACGTAAGTACCGGGGTATTTAAAAGTCAGTGTTTTTTTTAAGGTGTTACTGCTGAGGTACCCCCAGTATATTGGAAAAAAAGAAAGTGTAAACATAGTTCTGAGTACAAGTGTACAAGTAAAGATTCCCCCTTTTTTTTAAATGGTTGGCCCCTTGAATAAATTAGCATCAACATGCAAGTCGTTTTAAATGTGTATAGTTGACAGCTACCTCTAACTTTCATGGCATATGGTTTCTGTCGAAAAATGAATTTCAATGATATGGTGAATCTAGGTCATTATACTGGTAGTGTAAGTGGTATTGTCTGAGAATGATAGTGACTTAAAGGTTGTGTCAGGTGCTTAACTGACCTACATTTGTATCATGCATCTATAATAGAAACATGCATGAACAACAAATTGCATATATTTGTATGCTGATCATTACTCAGAGTATGAACTTATCTTTCTCATTTACATAAACAGTACATGCTTTCAATAGAACAAATACAGTACTTGTTTATCTCATTACAATCTTATCTAGTATGTCCTTGGTTAATGAGCATCTGTGATGTGTGATAATTACCTATATTACCAGTAACATGTTCATGGCTTTCCTCAGGTTTTTAGCCATAGTGGACAGTCAAATTCTATAAGGACAAATGAAAGTTAACATATGTACCATAGATGTTTGACTGTAATAGTGCCCTTGGTACTCTACTCCAAAAGTCATGTTTTTTCAGGGGTGGGCCCTTAAGGTACGTAGCGAAGACTATTATTTGTGTTGAAAATTATGATTTTCACATTTATTTATTAATTGATGAAATGCACTATAAACTTTCATTTGATAAAGTCAACGTAACCTAGAATGTCATGTAAGTTGGTTAAAATGTCGATTTTTTGAAGGGAAGCAAGGCAGCTTCAGTAGTGTTTTCCAAAATCAACAACACAGGTTTAATTTGTGTGCCTATAAGTTTCAAAGATTAACTCAAGACAAAGCAATGTTAGGATGTGTTATCAGTAGCTATTCGTTAGAGATCTTTGTGTGTGAACGGTCGGGACTGAGTCGGCACGTGCCGAAAAGAACTCGATCTCAGTCCCGATAGATACTTGGGACCGAAACTCAGCACGTGCCGAAATTTGCTGTCTGAACGGTCGACACGAGCCGAAATCACGCCCTGGGTGGTAAATTTAAGAAAAACATAAGTTGATTGATAAGTATGAAATGACGATGACAGGAAATTCCGATATACTAGTATATGGTCAAATGCTGTAGTAATGAATGCAAACCGTCATCAGCGACGCATATTTATATGCTGCTGCAACCTCTATTTTCGTGCACATTTTACATTGACATGAAAAAAATAATTGAGTTTCCAATCTTCTTTGCTGTTCATGTGCACGATGGCTCGTAATAAACACCATTGCAACAAATGGATATAATTTCACTATAACAATTATTATTATCGTCATATGCGTATCATTTTCCATGTTTGGGCCAACAGATCGACGAATGAGAGCGTGATTTTGACACGAGCCCAGTCGGTCCTATAATAATAACGTGGACACAACTGCAAACACAACGGATTAAAAATTTCGGCACGTGCCGAGATCCCATAACGTGAACGTAGTAAATGAGTGTTTCCAAACATTTGAGTGGTTTGTCTCTGCCCCTGTTTATTTCACAGATTAGTCATTTGCATATGAATGTGTCAGACACAAGGTCACACAGCCACTGAAAAAAATCATTGATTTTGGTGTTTTCATCTGGCGATTTTATTGAACTACAGCTATCCCATTCCTTTAATTTTTTGGTTTCCAATAGCCTTACACATTTGGATGTCCCCTACACATGTTAAAACAGACCTTGATGGAAAACAAATTGCTTGTGCAGATAAACAAGCTTGAAAATCTTTGCTGTGACTTATATACCAATGTGTTGTGGTTTGAGTTGGAGGCAATGCAACTAAAACAGAAATTAAAATTCAGGACACTACTTTTCAAAACGCGTTGCTTGAATAAAACTAACCAGACACATTCAATTTACCAGACTATTGAACAACTAGGAAAAGTGAAAAAAAAACTTCTTATCACCAGCATAAATGCGTAATTATTTTTTTTACAAAAAAGTATTTTTTCACTTTTCATTAACGCACCGTAGAATGCAGATAAGGGCATGGCAAACACACCTTTGAAAAGCTTGAAGTCTGGCGATTCCAAAAATATATACTTTCCTGGGTCTATTTGTAGTCATTTGGTCACGATTAGAAGATGAAAACAAGTATGCAAATAATAGTCCCGCTACCTTAATCGAACACCACAACAAAAACGAGGTACCGGGTAATATGTTCCCTTTGGCTGGGGTGGGGGTGGGGGTTGCATCACTTTGATTTCCACAATACTTTTACAATGAACAAATCAGGAATGTGTGCATTTCATTACAATAATATTTGCGTATCAGAATTTATGATTTAAAACTACATGTATTAAGTTTGAACAATTTTATCTTCAGTGTCGAATGTGTTCGATCGTATGCAAACTCCTGATGCAAAGCATTATCTGCTGTGATGTTTTCTGCACGATTTGTCCTTTGACATGATAGGTCAAGTCTGTTATTATATAAAACCAATCAGAATGCTGTGCTGTACCAGCGCAGTTTTACGGGAATGCCTGATGGCATTCTGTTAACGCAATTATGCAGAAGTGAATTATAGATGTTAAGTACTTTCTGTTGGGATTGATTTTGGCAAAAAAAAGGCATGATTTTATTAAAAATTGGTAATTTTTGAAAGGTAAATTGAATGTGGAAGAAATTCAACACCTTTCACAGTTGTTAACAGTTTATTGTTTGGGTATTCATACCATATTAATGAGAGTCATTTCCATGCTGCATTTTTATAAATTAGAAAGTCAATTTTGGAAGGGATGGGTCGAACATGACTCCAAAAATAGAAATGCTACCAAAGTGTGGGGTATGCCCTTAGTCAAGGATAGGCGCTAGTTCGGGTGAGTATGGTACCAATCTTTCTACGTGTATGTAATAGTACAATTCATAACATCTCATAGAACAGTGTTATAGACTTGATACCATTATACCATAGAACACTGCCATCCCACTTGGTATAGAACACTGCCATCCCACTTGGTATAGAACACTGCCATCCCACTTGGTATAGAACACTGCCATCCCATTTGGTATAGAACACTGCCATCCCACTTGGTATAGAACACTGCCATCCCACTTGGTATAGAACACTGCCATCCCACTTGGTATAGAACACTGCCATCCCACTTGGTAATTTAATAACCCTGACTTTTTTTATCTGCTTAAAATGTTGAGTGTATGTCTAAAATGACAGGTAGACAGGTACACATACAGGTACACATACAGGTAGACAGGTACACATACAGGTAGACAGGTACACATACAGGTAGACAGGTACACATACAGGTAGACAGGTACACATACAGGTAGACAGCTAAGTAGATAAATGCCTTAATGCTGCTAATCATGGAAGGTAGATTAAGAGACACATATGAAGGGAATATTATTATTCACCTTATCATTTGTGCTGAACATCCACAAATGATCACGAACTGTGAGACGTTAAAATACGTATTTCAAAAAATGCTCATGCCATTGAGTGTTAATCAGTGAATGAATAATCTCTGGGTTATTTTTTTCAGTTAGGTGTCTTTGTGTTGGCCAGGTCAGAGAAAATAACTTGCTGATTATTACCTCAGTTTGGTGTTTCCAGCCAAATAAAATAATTCTCAATTAATGCTTCAATAAATGACACAAGACACAAGGTTTTGGCAAAAGTGGAAGGGGGAGCGAATTGCAGACGCAGGCGTCGCAGCGAACAGCTCCATGATGCGACTCGCCTGTGAATTGCATCATGACGCCGAGCGCGTGGTACTATACAATACTTGACCTGAGTATTTGACGCTTTATTCCCGCTAGCGTAAAATGAATTCCCTTAATATTGTTTAAATCCCCTGCAAATCTTGTGTAGATGCGAAGGCTTACCAGTTGATATGTGAAAGCTTGACATGACTATAAACTGACTTTAATTATCTTTATTATTCTGTCCTATATAGATGTGTACACAGCAAGTATTAATAGTAAATGCAGATAACATATTAATTATCCACACTAATAAGCTCAGATTTGGGCTTTACAGTCGGCACGGAAATGAACTGATCAGGAAAACCACTGTCAGTCGGTTGCCGACTAAATCTCTTGCAACATTGTAATATTCCTAAGAACATAACGGCAGCAGTGTTTGTTACGACTTTGTCTTCAACTGTTGTTTATCAAAAGTTCCATCATACTTGACTGAATAAGTGCTCAACTTTTGAAATGAAATTGTGAGCTTGTGATTAAATAATAATTCATAAATCCCAAATTCATAAATTCTGTGTCCATCATTTTGTTGGGAGTGAAAATGCAGGAGTCACAACAACCATCACTTACAATGTTCCGAGGAATAATGCAACGTTGCAAGGGAAATTGAAAGTTTATTTTGATGCCCAGTGAGGGATTGTCTTGAAATCCTTCAAATTTTTGTTCTACAACTTATAGTATATATTGCCTTCTTCAAGTACCAGAGCATGTACATGTTTTAAGTATTGCAGGATATCAGACTTTGTGTCACATATACTACTATAGGTGTGCTCGAAACAGTAGACAAATCCTTTCCTGCAGGAGAGTTGCCTGAATAGGAGTTGCATATAACGTCATTTGATCAAATGTGGCAATACTCACTATAGTTATGATTCCATTTACAGTGAGCTATTGTTTTTTTACTTGTTCGTGTGGATTTAATTTAGTGAATTTTACTTGTCAGCAAAAATAGCAATATTAAAACCCAGTGAATACTCAATGCGTTCACAGTAGTAAA